TGATGAAGCCTCAATCTGTGTTTTAAAATTCCATCTTTAAGGAATACCAATGTAATATCTGTGCAAATCTCTTTGGAACTTCTCCGCATTAAATGAACAATAATTCTTCAACAGTACTTCAAGCCAACAACTGGCGTTTCTGTGTTCAGTAACTCAGGTATACTCTATTATTTCTTTAATGTTACCTTCATTAAAAGTGTTAATTTATTGAATTTATTTTTTATTATTCTTTTATTATAAAAGTTATCTTTAATTGTATATTTAGTAAATAGATTTAGGACTGAGTTAAATCTCCTACGCAGGACGAACCTTGTAGGATAACATTGGGTTTACGGACGAAGGTATCGTTAATATCGAGGGTGCCCAACTGATGAAACAATGCATTATAACTTTTATAAGCAAGAGCGTAATACCACTATACATACGTAACTATACCCACTACCTTAAAATTGTTATAAAGAGAACAATACAGTCGGCTCGTTCTACTTTGGTGATTTTTGTTCTCGTAGTTTTGATATGTCATCCATCAAGAATTGATACCTAACCATGCTCGTTCTCTCGCGCAAAACCTTTTGGTAGAAATGAAGCACGATTATGCTGATAACTAAAGTAATAATCACATATTTCGAAAACATATTGAAAACATTCGCCTCTGGATACAACCACACGATGGAGCTGTTGTACATAGAGGAATAGATATCCCTCACTAGCTTAGTATGAGACCACAGTTGTTATTCTTCCTGCAAGAGAGGTGCAACCAGCAAACTAGAAAGGAATCAAATCTTTCAAGAATTGTAGTAAAAACGCTTTAAGTGGTAGAAGCAATAAATTATCACATAAAACTACTGAACATTGTATTTACCAACCTGAATGTTTTATATATATATATATAAAGAACTAGCGAAAGTATCCGGCTTCGTTCAGGTTATTAGGTTGATATTGTGTGTGTGTATTCTGAACCCATTTTAGCATAGAATTATAACCTATATACTTTTGTTGCTAAGCGACATGACATTAAAGCCATTGTTGGAACGCATTATTACCAAAACGCACTGGCTTTCTATATATTAGGAGTTGTTATATAAAGAGCCACTTCCTTCCTGTGTGGGTTTTCGCTAGCTTGCCTCATTAAAAAGAATTTACCAATGTTTGACTGCCTCGACTGCACTTTTCTGCCTCTTTGTTGGTCGAGTTTGATTTTGCAAAACTTATATATTTCAGTTAGCTATCAAATGTGAGGTTAGGATATACTAATAGCTAAAGCACTCTATAACATTCCATAATAGTTTTGTTGCTAAGCGACGATGTATATTGTTGATTATTACCAAAAAAAGGAGCGTGAAGGCGTTCTCGACAGTATAACATCCCATAATAGTTAAAAAACACTCTTTAACATCCCATAATAGTTACAACTATCCTATAGTATCCTATAATAGTTACAAACCACTGTAAAACAACCCATAATATGTAAAACACTCTATAACATCCCATAATAGGTTTGTTGCTAAGCGACGAATATATTGTTGATCATTACCAAAAAAGGAGCGTGAAAATGTTTACGACAGTATAACATCCCATTTTCTGCCTCTTTGTTGGTAAACTTGATTTCGCAAAATTTATTTATTTCAGTTAAATTTGAAATGTGAATATAGGGTATACTATTGCCACATCATTTTTGACAGACTATAACATCCCACAATAGTTAAAAACACTATAACATCCCATAATAGTTAAACAATCACTCTATAACATCCCATAATAGTTAAACAACCGCTATAACATAATAGTTAGAAAACACTCTATAGCATCCCATAATAGTTCAAATGTTCTATAACATCCCATAATAGTTAAACACTATAACGTCATACAATAGTTTAAACCAATCTGTAGCATCCCTTAGTAATAAAAACTACTCTATAACATCCCATAATAGTTAACAACTACATAACATCCTATAATAGTTAAAGAAAAACACAATAACATCTCAAAATAGTTAGAACACTCTAACATTTCATGGCGATCACATTTCTTTTCTATGTGGTTTTTCGTATAAAAATATCATTACACATAGATAGATAATATACAGAAAATAAAGTTACAAACTGAATTACATATCCAATATTCAAACGCCTACAAATGAAAACTTACCACACAAGAAACTTTTTTTTATTTCAAAGCCTTCGATCCTGTCTCTAGGACTGTTATCAGGTTGCCTGAACAATATGCTAATTGTAAACTCTCAAGTGAGTGTTACAAGTTAAAACACGCGTGTGTATCAAATTGAAGATATTCCAATGAGTGTTATAGGTTAAAAGATACGACTTTTACTTGTAACAAATATCCCACAATAGTTAAACACTCTATAACGTACTATAATAGTTAAAACCAATCTATATCATCCCATAATAGTTAAAAGTACTCTATAACATCCCATAATAGTTAAAAACAATCTATATCATCATATAATAGTTAACAACAATCTATATCATCCCATAATAGTTAAAATTACTCTATAACATCTTATAATAGTTAAAACTACTCTATAACATCCCATAATAGTTATGAACTACTCTATAACATCCCATAAAAGTTAAAGAAAACACAATAACGTCAAACAATTAATAGTTGTGTTCCAATTTTGTCTAAATGTAACAAATGTCATTATGGTGGATTTATTTATAATTTCAATAGCTATTTTCAATCTGCGGGCATTCCATCTATACGTAAATGAGTCTGTAGTACGTAGCCACTGACACATAATTCTTATCATCTGATGTGAAAGATGAAATTTATCACTGAGCAGTTCGCCGCCAATGGCTCAACTGTAATTACTGGATTTGTGACACCAAAAATCGGGTTTCAATAGCCGTGGTGGGCACAATACAAACAGCCCATTATGTAACTATAACCCGGTGGGACAGCGGTAAGTTCACGGACTTACAACACTGAAATCCGGTGTTTGATTTCCCGTGGTGGGCATAGCAGATATTCCAAAAAAAAAAAAACTTAAGTAGTTTAGTGTGTAATCTGTCAGCACTCCCGGGCACTCTATTACATTCTATATACAATAAACTGCTCTTTAACTCAACAATGTGACATTATTTTGACGATTTGGGAGAAGCTTCAGCATAATGTTTGTGTGTTAACTTATGTAAGGAGACTTTTATTTTAATGTTTTTTTTAATCTGTTCGATCATTCAAAAGTGCAATGGTTTGCTTATACAAAATTTTGACTTTGCTATCAAAATTAGATGTATATGTAGGAACACTTGCTGTTGTCCGATTTCAGTCTCTTTACAATTCTATATGCGTGGAATAGGTGCATTTGTATATATAACTCTTGTCCATTAGGAACGACTTTAGCAATATTTGGTTTAAAATATTTTAGTGTTTATTGCATACACCTTAGCCATTGACATTTAGAGTCTATGGTGCACATCAGTCAAATTTATGTAAGATATGACGTTGAGATCTCAATTGAAATGCCACAGTTTAGGCCCACAACACTTCAGTCCATACTAATAAATACTTTTTTGTACCTCCCTATTTTTGAATTGTGATTGTGTGTGTGTGTGTGTGTGTGACCGCCATAGCTCCAAGAGAAAAGAACCTAGAAACCTAAAATTTTGCACCCATAAACAGTTGACCCCGAGGGTGTGCACCTGGGTATTACTTAACTTATTCACGTGCGTGAGCGCATGCGCATCTTTTTAATGAGGCAAGCTAGCGAAAAACCACATAGAAAAAAAGTGGTTCTTTATACAACAATTTCTAATATATAGAAATACCAGTCCGTTTTGGTAACAATGCGTTCCAACAATGGTTTTTATGTCATGTTGCTTATGTTATACTTTTATGCTAAAATAGGTTCAGAATACACACACTATCAACCTAATAACCCGATCAAAACGCAATAATTTCGCTAGTGTATATATATATCTGTGTGTGTGCGTGCGTGCAATTGTTTGTTTATGTATATTTGTGTGATTTTGTAATAATATTTATAAGCAACTTTGTTTGGTAAACTTTGATACCAAAAGACATTTTATTTAAGGAGCAAATATAATATATATATACATATAAAGAGAAAGAAAGTAACAGCATGTTGTCTACTAAGTATGTACCTTAATAGATATGATACAAAACTTGTCTGAAATGTAAACTCGTAATATTATGTTGCCCATTTAACGCCTATGCACAATCGATATCTTGAAACTTTATGTCTTAGAATATCAACATTATTTCATTATACATATTGTAATAATAATATTTTGGCACATGTTATTTTGTTGTCAATGAAAACCGAACATAATATTAAAAGTGGCATGCGGGATTATGGAAGTAATAAGCATGTCAATTTTCACTAGTCAAGATATGTAAATATCAGGTTAGTGCTAATTTAAGTTAAGCTTCTTTGAATCTGATCCATATGAATTTACTCGCTAATTTCAGTTAAGCCTCTTTGAATTTGATCCATATGAATTTACTCAATAATTTCAGTTAAATCTCTTTAAATTTGGTCCATATGAATTTACTCGATAATTTCAGTTAAATCTCTTTAAATTTGGTCCATATGAACTTACTCGCTAATTTCAGTTAAATCTCTTTAAATTTGGTCCATATGAATTTACTCGCTAATTTCAGTTAAATCTCTTTAAATTTGGTCCATATAAATTGACTCGTTTTCTTCTTCCTTTTAGAAGTAACAAACACATAAATCTTATATCTATTCTATGTAATTACTTTTCCATCGTATTAAGGTATACAACAACCAGTGTGTATAACTTATCTTTGTGCTGTAACAAATGGCTCATGCATGATAAACTAATCTTAAAACGAAACTGGAAAATTGAAAATATTGTGCAATATGTCATCAGTGGACACAAAACACAATCGTATCGATTTAAATACCTAACTATCATCCAAAGAAGAACAGGAAACAGAAAGAACTTTGTTTTTTTGGAAAAAATGTTAATACATTTATTCAATAATAACGTGTTTATACAAAATTTATCGTACCCAACATTTGTTTTTGCCAATTCGGTATTTTAGAGTCTGACGCTATTAATAATTTTTCTTCTTGTTTTATTATATTTTAAAATAATATATCTTATCATGTCGAAAACTCGTTAGAAACCTTAACTTAGTTTGAGATAACGTTTGACTACTTTTCACAATTAATTCGAAACTTAACATACACACTGCAGTATTGAGCAAAGCACTACTATACGAAATTGAATATGAATATTTTTTTAAAGAATGTTCTTTAAACATTTACTTATTAAATTATAATACATATTACGGTACCTAAATAAGGCAATACAGTCAAGCTGCTTCAGTTTATGTTGAAGAAATTCTTGAATATTCACTGACAGAAACATAATATAGTTAATTGGTCTTGTATTTTTTACAAGCTTAATCCCATTCATGTGTTTACGTTTTGAAAAAAAATAAGCAAATATTTTAAAAGGATCTGTATGTTGAAGTTTGTACGTTTTCAAATAATATAAATAAAACTTTGTTTGTACGAAAAACATTTAACATTAGCTATCACCAAAACACTTGATCATCTCTAGTTTTACATGATGATCATCTCTTGATCATCATGTCAACAAGTAATTTTCCTAGTACAAGGTATATCAACGCAAATTTGGGTAAAGTGACATCTGAATATTTCTAAGTGTCAGTATTTAAACTTAGAATATAACTGATATGCTCTTTGGCTTATTTGTAACATGGAGGAACAAGTTATCATTCGTCTACATTACCTAAATATTTCAAGATATTTCAACAGGACAAAACCTCTAGAATTTAGTATAATAAATACAGGTTTACAGTGCAACAAGTTAAAAATACCTCTTTTCGTAACATGTTTACAGTACAAAACATTCAACCTTATCACAGAAGTGGCAGTTAAGCCAACAACAACAAAAAGCTTCCAATTTAATACCAACCAAAGTCTTTTCCAACAAGTTGATAAAATTTCAAGTTAAAGGGTCGATAAAAATCTCGTAGCCTCTGCAAGGACGTTGTATTAATTTTAGGGTGAGTTCGCCCTTTTGTTTTGTCCAAACAATGAGACTTTGATCGGCTTTTTCGTATACAGGGAAATCCTTTTGTTTCGTTAAAGTAAAAATACTTCTGATCTACAACTTTCTGTAAGCCTAGAAAATCTTGAACTTTAGCCATTTCTCCTACTGGATCTAAGATTAGGTTTTCACAGCTCACGAAATGAAATTGAGTAAGTGGGAAAAACCGACGCCATCTTTTCAAATGTTTGGCATACAGACCGATTCTGATGGCCCTCCATGAAGTGTCTACGAGCCCTGTAGTCACGTTCAAAAATGCCATTTCTTCAAACCTCTTGGAACCTCGTTGCTTACTAATGCCTTGAGTGTAATCGGAAATAGCTCTAGTCACTGGGTCACGAACCGCAACGATCAGTTTCATACGATGTGACATATTGTAGACACGTGCAGGCACTTCAGGTGTCACGTAGTAGCTGGGAGTCTTCTCAATAGTAATTTGCCCTTGTGTGCTTGGCGGCATTTGCTTCCTGAAATTCAAAGGAAAACATTAAATCGTTAGGAAAATAACTACGACTTTTCATGTGTTTAATGAGTAAAACAGAAGTTTGCTGGACTCAACCATCTGTGAATAATAATTGAGCGATTACATCATGATATTTCTATCATCACTTTGCACACAAAACTACTTATGATTTATGTGCGTCCATTGTAAATGCCTTGAACGTAGTTTTATTAAAGAAAAAGGTCATGACAACGCTTAATTACTTGGCAAAAAATAGTCACATTTTATAATACAGAGATTGAGTACGTTATATTAAAATAATTTTGGAGCCTCAGCACGTGGCTACAGCTTATATGGCTACGTAGGTCATGCTCTATATAGCGACTTTGCATCTGAAGAATAGTTTCCATTTCAAAGGGCATGGTCGAAATGCTTTCATAGCCATAGCATACAACTCTTCCATGCACAATTTCCATAATCTATCTAGTCTACGAGGACAACGGTTTCCCAACACCCATCTTAACAGTCAGTATGCCTTCTTATAAACAGCATGAATACCCATTTCATTCTTCAGCTACTTGAGGTACACAACGATTGACCCGGAGCTTTGATTGGACGCCTTAATTGGTGAACCCATACCCCGTTGGCCTCGTTTGCGAATAAATGCGGTAATTCTGATAGTAAACCTTGACCTTTGTAACCATTCTCCTGATCTTGACTTTCTACTGGCGCATTATCCAGCCATAACTATGGATTCCTTCGAAAACATTTCGAAATGAATTTCGCCCACTAACCTTTAGATAATAACACGAAACTTGTTACAGGTATGTAGGTACGCATACGCTTCGTCAAGTGTCAACGCGTACTGCCACTTTTCTTCCCTTGGTACCGTTCATACAGTTTCTATAATTGGTGTTCTTTTACTGTATATATTGTAAAAACAATCTGTATAAAATTGGCTTTTGTCGCTTTTATGGATAGAGATCCTTCTTGATTATGTTTGTATACTGTTGTCTGGAGCACATAGACAATTTTTTGCCACTGATCTTTGTGTTCATGAATTATCATCTGTTACAAAATGCCACACTTTTTTTTTCTACCTCGTCTGAAGAACGACTTGTTGTAGGTCTCCTTCTGGATGGTCCTTATCCCAAGTTGATACATACTAATTTGTTTTCCAATTCGGTTTAATACAAGAAATATCTCCGTCTTGTAAATTCTAGATCACAGATCTGAGTATGTAAATATTTTGCATCAGAATGGGCTGACACCTACACTTCTCAAACGTAAAGAATTTTGTGAGGTATCACATCACCCACAAAACAATGCCAAAATGTAGTTACAATACATTTTTTACCACGACTTTACATCGGCAGTGGTTGTCGTGTGACATGGTGACTTGCATATTCAAAATCGTCTTGGTATAACGTACTCAACCATCTGTATAAACGTAAGATGAAAATATACTTTAAAACCGTGCGATGCTATATTATATATTATTATAAATATAAATAAATTGAAATTAAAAAAAACTTTGAACTTGTGGTGTCTTGAACTTATACAAAGTAATAGCATCATCTTTAAGTCTGATTACATAAAGAAAAACTAGAAATACTTTATTTGGTTTTATGGTTGAATGTTGATCTAACTTGCATAAAAACTAAATAAGAAATATTCCAAACGAAATGGTGCTTTTATCTCAACATGCCTTCCTATGGAAATTAGATTTCATCGAGTATGACAAAACGGCTGTACATTATTTCAGATTAACCCAGTGTAGCATAAATAAAAAGTTGCATTAATTTTTTACCTTGTTTTTTACCTTCAGTAGTAGAAATAGATTCATCTCAATGTCAATATAAGGAATGTACAAAAAAGCAAGGATCATATGTGAATATTAGCTTCACTCATATTTAACACCAGAGAGATCATATAAAAGATGCCTAACTACACGTTAAAAATATCAAAATGTTAATAAAGTCAACTTACTTACACATAACAGTTCCAGCCTCATAACAAAGTCACGTAATTATGTTTTTACAAAGCACTTTACAAACAACTTCCTTACATAACGCATTATATGACAAATTTGCTTACAAAACTAATATTCAGATGTCGTGACTGGTACATTTTTACAGAATCGACTTTACAACAAACACATTTAACTATATATTCTTAATACCTACACATTATGATTAACAGAGTACACATGTTCCTACACTTTAATTATGTATGCTTTATTATCATTCGAAATCAAACAGGTATGTTTATTTAAAGAGAATCCTAACCAATAAAATAATTGTTTGGGTTAGTTACAGTGTTGACAGTCGTGCCATTTACGGATGCAACTTTAGAATAATACAAGTATTGTTCTCAAGAATAAAGGGTGAGCTATATATTTATTTTTGATAGAAGCGGGAAATCCCCCCCCCCCAAAAAAAAAGAAGTTCTTCGAAAAAGATTACTCAAGCTTGTCTAAATGTAGATAATAAATCTGTATTACCTCGATCGTGTGGACTATGTCCAGATAAGAATCTCATCATAAAACAAAAGCTAGTTTTCTTTCAATACTCTTTAACAGACAAGAATGAATGATACAAATAGCATATGTAAGTTCTTTCATGTGAGTAGTCCCACAAGTTAGCATGCCCTGGAAATGGATGATAAATAAAAACTACGTTAAACAGTCGCTTACCATAACATGTGATTTATTATTGGGTACCAAAACTAGGTTGCTTCAAAAATTGACGTACAGTATAATCTCGATACAGAGTTGTCAGTCTGTCTGTTACTGAATAACTAACTTCGAGGAAATTTATTATGGTAACTCAGGCGGAACTTCCCCACCACCCACACAAAAAATAGAGTTTAGATGAAAAAATAATCGAACGAACGCTCGAGTATAACAACCATTTTAATCTTAGTGCTTTGATGCTGTGAATGAAGACTCAACTGTGAAAGGAGATAGGTAACGAAATATCCGCAACTGAAATTGACGTCTAATGCAGTTCGTAGACCTTTATATCATACGAACGGTTCGAGTGCAATAACTTGAGATAGTGGAAGAATTTAGTGTTTTTCTTTTCTTATATAAAGTCATATCGGGATATCTGCTGATTTTAGTGTTGTTTCTTTGTTTGTTTTTAATTTCGTCCCTAATTTAGCAGTGCAAGACTAGAGGGAAGGCAGCTAGTCCAACTCTTGGGCTACTCTTTTACAACGAATAGTGGGATTAACCATCACATTATAACGCCCCCACGGCTGAAAGGGCGAGCATGTTTGGTGGTACAGGGATTCGAGCCCGCGACCCACAAATTTTGAGTCGAGCACCCTAGCCACCTGGCCATGCCGAACGATTATAGTGTTGTAAACCCGAAGACACTAGTGGAAGATAGCTCATGCTCACGTTTATAAAATTACATTTTAAGCCTGGCAATGTCAAGTACTTTTCTTAGTATTGTGAAATATTAAGATTATTTATAAAGAAGTTGGGTAGGTTATATTAAAACGATTTTGAGTATGTAATTCAGCAGCTAACGTGATAACCATAGCCGATATTGCTCTTCGCTTACCATGGTTGATGTACGATTTGTTTTAGGCCTCTTCTTGGATGGTCCTGATGCTTATTCATTTGTTTTCTAGGTATACAAGGGATAGCACTGAATACGTATTTTTGATATGAATGTATGGATATTTTGCTCAGAAAGAATTGTTACACACCCATCCAAAAGTGATCAATTTTAAGGTGGCGTCTCAATGTCTACTAAACGCTAGACAAGTTTTGTCACATGCGTTTCACTGCGATTTTGCGTCTTGTAACAGGTGAGAATCCACGAACAAAAGGCTCAGTTGCAAAAGCAGTCCGCGTGCCTCAGGCAACAGTATGCAACATGATCAAGAAAGATCTCCGTCTGGAAACGAGGTCAACAGAGCATGGGCTCACCAAAAAAAAGCTTACATACATATCTCGCACTCAACCATCTTATATCTCAAGCAGCTGGTTAATGAAACAGAATTCATGCTATTCCATAAGAGAACATATCGGTCATGTCGCCAGACGCAGATCCTGTGGGTATATTTACTTGTTTGTTCACTAAACGAAAGCAATCAGGGAGAAGTGGTGTGCTTTGGATACAGTCTTACGGCCATGCATTGTGCAAAAGAAACTACGCTACAGGGCTAATGTCAAGATTCACGGTTGTTAGGTAAACCATGAGTGAATGTGGCGATATAGACTGTAATTTCGTCTCAAGTTCTGTAGACTCAAGTATTTTGGTCTGCCCACTTGAAGTTTGGATGGTGTTTTCTGGTACATAATCTTAATATGATTTTCGTACAAGCTATAAAACAAACGTTTTCAATGTAGCAACAAAAAGTAATGCCGATATCGTTTAAAGTTGCAGTTATATAAGTTATATAAGCCTTTGTATTGAATTATAAGCTTGATAATAATAACATTTCGGATCGATAATATAATCTGTTTCAGGATCGAAAGAAATCATGATAGTTGATATCTTATTAGCATTTTAACATCTAAAGCACATTAAGAACATGAAACCTGAGCTCTTTAACAGCTTAACCTGTCATTTCTTACCCCTGAAAAAGACAAGCCTGTCAAAAGCGCTGACTTTTCATCGTGTTTTTTTTTAAATGTAATTCACCAAACGTTTTGATTATATGTACTTTTTTGCTATCATAATTTTTAAAGATGCATAAAACACTTACAAAGCTTACATAAAATGGCTTAAACGAAACCTTTGGAATGACATTTCTCATCACAATATTAAATGCTAGCAAGGTTAGTGATATGGCCTTATAAAATAATTCTACTGCATTTATCTCCTATGGGTACCTAATTATAGAAAACAAATATTCGTATCTATGCAGACAACTGCTTGGATTTGATAAAAGAGGGACAAGAACACTTCTATTTATCATGAAATATTTTGGCAAATCAGACAGTTTCTCAACATCAACGTCTCTCATTAATACACAAATCATATTTCAATACAATAAACGGTCCAA